TCTTAGAAAGAGTGTTCTTGTCACTCCATCAGACAATTGGCTCCGCTGTGAGGATTCTTTGTCTATGCAATTTTTGGAAATAAAAAATGGATATAACTACTTTAGGTAAGGAGCTAAGGATCATTCTTGTTCAGTTGATTGATAACATTTTCTGCTCTGTTTTATCTTAACACCACCATCTCTGTATGCATGTATGACTGTATATGTCAAAGACTGAGGATTTAGGGCCCATTTGGGTAAACAACTCAATTAAGGTCTTATTGAATAAATACTTATTATTTTGTTAGCATTTATGTATAAGTTGTTTTCATAATGGAAGGGGAAATAGGGTTAAATTGTTTCTATATAAGCTGTTAGCTGCTTTCATAAACTGTCCTAGAGAGCCTATTGAAATAAGCTGAAAATAGTTTATGTACGTATCGTAAGCTATTTGCATAAGTTCTCTCAACACTTATAGAAGTGTTTATATATCATAAGATAATTACAAATAAGCTCTTCCAAATGGACCTTAGTTGCAGTATCCTATCTTCTATTGTGTTATGTGTGCTACCAATGAATCATAAACGGGTAAGCATAAAAATAAACACATAAAGAAGACACTGTCTGTTAGTGGGAAAGATAAAATAAAATATATAACATATACTCCCTATGTCTCATATTTTGTATTTTAAGTTAACACATTCAAAAAAAATATTAATTTCACTAATTACTATGATAAAGTTGATTGTTTGACTAAAATACCCTTAATAAATGAGTTGGAGTGTAGTTGTGAATGATTTAATATTGATAAATAAGGGTATTATTGGAAAATAACAATTAATGCTTTCTTGATGTTGTCAAGTGGCAAATTTTGAGACAAATCAAAACTCTCAAAGTGACATAATATGAGATGGAGGAAATATAGAAATAAAACTTGCAGAGAACTCTGGAAGCTGGACAAATTCAATTTAGGAATGACCTTGAATGGAATAAAAGTACCTAATGTTGAGTTATGAAAATTAGAGAGAAGAGGGAAAAAAATTATCCGACTTATATGGCATAGGAAAAATTAAATTATCAACTTTTGCCTAATTATTGGTTATTTTCATTACTGTCTCTCTCTCTGCTTTTCAATTATTGATGTTTCTTTCATTTTTATTGGAGGTTATGTATGATTGAGTCCATTACTTTGGGATTTTGTTATTATTTATTTTCATTGTGAATGACCTATGGGTTGGTGGAAACCCTCAATACTCCTCAACCTGCCTGGTTTATCATTTAGTGATTTATTTGTGAATTTAAAAATTGAATATGCCTTTTGTACTTTGTATCTTATTTCATATAGCCTTCATGGTTAAAAATTATTGATATGTGTGAACCATCATCATAATATAATAATTGCATCTTTTTGTAACCCTTTGAAGTTCTGTTCATTTTTCCTTATTGGTCGTTTTTACAATGTAGATATGTACACTCGCCTTCCTACTCCCAAACTCAGAGAGCATTTGAAGCTGCCAAAGCAATTAATGACATAAATGGCATAGCAAGCATATTACAGCACCGTCCTTATCATATAGATTCCCTTCTAACAATGGCCGAATATTTCGCAGTATTGGGTGAACAACAGATGTCTGCAGATGCTATTGCCAGGTGTCTATATGCCCTTGAATGTGCATGGCATCCCATGTTCAATCCACTGCAGGGAAATTGCCAGTTGAAGTTCAGACATGATACAAACAAACCTATATTCACAGCTCTTTTCACTCACATGAACAATTTGGACAGGCGTGGCTGTCATAGATCTGCCTTGGAGGTCTGCAAATTGTTGCTTTCGCTAGATTCTGATGATCCCATGGGGGCTATTTTCTGTATTGACTACTTTGCTTTAAGGGCTGAGGAGTATGCATGGCTGGAAAAGTTTTCTGAAGAATATAAAAGTGATAACTCCATTTGGTTGTTTCCAAACTTCTCTTATTCCCTTGCCATTTGTCGGTTTTACCTTGAGCGTGAGGCCTGCAAAGATGCTAGTATGAATGCTGAAAAGGCTTCTTCGTCTGATCTTATGAAACAAGCATTGATGCTTCATCCTTCAGTCATAAAGAAGCTAGTGGCAAAAGTACCATTGAAAGATCGCACATGGACAGATATTCTCAAGCATGCATTTTTCCGGTCAGATCAAACAGGAATTCCATCACAAGATCACTTGATTAATATATATGTTGAAAGAAATTATCTTATATGGAGGCTTCCTGATCTACAAAAACTGCTAAGTGGTGCTGCAAAACTAGTGATTGAAACACTAGAAAATAATAAAAGTGAAGTTAAGGATTGGGCTTGTGTCAGAAAAGAAGCGTTTTCATCTGAGAAAAATGAGTACGTGATTTTATTTATTTATTTGTGTGTTCACTTTGGTGCTTGATTTTGTTATTTTAGTGCTTGACTTTGTGTGTTCACTTTAGGGACATTTTCTGTAGATGTGAATCTAATCTTTGTCTGAATCAGAAAAAGCATCAAATAATTGAGCTTGCTGCTTTACAAACCATCCAAATTTATTGCCTTCAAAACTTGGTACAAAATATTTCAACTTGGAATGAGCATTTGGCAGTTGAACAATTGAAATTATGATTATGGACTTGCAGCAATATGCTGATCTGATAAGATAACAACATAACTGAAGAATAATAGTCTGATGAAGACATGAAGTGTTGAAGTTGCACGGAATAATTTTATTTATTTATTTTTTTTTTATGCTTACTCATCTCATGCAATTTAGAGAGAGAGAGAGAATTAATGAAAAGAAAGTAGCACGATGAATCTTATTCATTGTGAAATTTTGGAAGCAGTTCATTTGCTTGGGATATATATAATATACCAGCACTGTTTAACATCTATTCATTACACGTTCTTGTTTGTTAGGTATGGACATTTGTTGGTATCTGATTTCTCTGATTCACATTCATCAATTCCACGAGAAAATCTGCAACAATTTATGGGTGTTCCAAGGATGATGGAGGGTGTGCAGGATGAGAACCAATTTGCTAATCTACCTGGCAATGGCCATGCTCCTCGTGGTGTTGCAAATAGAAATGCATTAGCTGTCTTGTTCGAGTCAATGCTACCATGGGTTACTTATGAGGATAGGGAGGATGGTGGACCTGATGATGGTAACCAACATGATGACCACAGGCAGGACAATCAATGATTCTGGATGCTACTACCCTTCCTGCTCTAAAGGCCTTTTTTGGCTGGAGTGTTGAACTCAATGATGAGATGTTTTGTACAGAGCGATGCCTAGGGAGCTTGATATCTTCTGCTATTATGTTGATCATTGTCAACCATCTAGGAACTCTAGACGCATAAAAATGCCATAATTTTGTGCTGTCTAATTTAGGGATATTGCTTCCATTATGATTTTTCATTTGATGTGCTTCAAAACTTTGGTCAACATTGTTGTTTAATAATGTGCTGTCATACGAGTTTAAATATGATAACAACTACTTGAGGGCAAATTCTTTTATAACAACATAGTTGGATGATAGTGTAAAGTTGAAACATTATTTTGAAAGCTAACTAGTTATCTCATCTTGGCTAGAGTAGTTTGGAAAAAGTGTTGTGGTGTACCACGCCCCAATTAGTTCAAAGGTAAATACATTTTATCTTGTGTAACTGTTGGGTGTGGCATGCCTGTCTACTTCCATTGTTGAGGCATTGGCAAAACTTCATGGGATGTTTCCATGACATTATGATGTAAAATAAGCAATTGTCATTAAAGTTGCTCTTAGCCTATGCTCGTTATTCCTATGTGTGGGGATTGTTTCCGTTTCCACTCCTTTTTGATAATGCCATGGAAACAATCATGCTACAAGGAGTATACACAATAAAAGTATAAGGATATAAAAGTAAATTAGTTTTTAAAATTTCTCTTCTTTCCGTAAAGTTAACAAAGAAAAAGTACTTTCTTTCCTTTTTCTCAAGAGAATCGCAATATTCTTTGACAAACAAACTGAAACAGCGTCCGAACTTTTAAAATATTCTTACTTTTTAATAAATTCATTTTAAAATAATTATTTAATTTAATATTTTACTAATTTTTTTAAGGATTTGGAATAAGTTTCGGCACATGATTTCGGAGGATATAGAATTTCTCTTTTCTCAACTAAACAAACAAAATTTTTAAGTCATTCTCTCTCCTTCCTTCCTCTTCTCTCACCTCCTGTCCCCTCCTCCCCTTTGAACAAAATTTGGGTGGTAGTGTGCCGATGGTTCATGGTTGTGCTTAATTGTGAATACAATGGCTACAAAAAGTAGTATAAGAAATGATAGAACACCCCTAAACATATTATTTTGAATACACTCCATTGTTGATTAACACTTGTTAGGAAATGATAAAAAAAAAAAATCGAGTCTCATTTTTTATTTAATAAATATATCGTGATTTTGTAATTTTTAATAAAGTTTAACTAATAATAAACCATGTGTTAGAAGAAGCATGTCAAAAAATGTATTACTAATATTCTCTGTGATCAAAATTAGTAGATAATTTTATCCTTCAAACATGTGGTTAATGGTTTGATTTTTGTTTCACATATATGAAAAAACAGTTGTTAAGACAGTCTGTTGATCCGCCCCACATAAAAAAAAACCTTATAATAGTACTAATAGACTACCGAGAGAATAAGATCTTACAATGCTGCTTATTTATTAAATTAGAACTTACATTACACAGTACGATATTCTAGACTTTAATGGCTATAATTATTTCTCAATGCAAACTTTCCACAAACTAAATGCAGAAAAGCCATTGAATGCGCCGGCCTAGGCATGCTGGGGAGGAATAAGAAATAGTTTCCTAGTCCTATGGTGGGTCGAGCATACTTTCTTATCGGTCCCTCAGTCCCTCCAGCTCAAGCATGCATGGCGCTGGGACATTCTTTTTTCCTTCTTTCTGCGTAGATTGAATGGATCAGGGGCAGACTAGCCTTCAAAAACAATACAAGAGCGTGGAGAGAAGTGGGGGACCGGGTATGGAATTAAGTTATAGTATGATAAAGTTATCATGTGAGTGGATTTCAACATATCATTAAGGGCACAAACTATATGCAGCTAACATCATTACAATACTGCTAAGCATTATTCTGCAATATCACATAGTTTATGGAGTTTTGGATTCCCCTACTGTCTGTCTTGTAAGTTGTAACCTCTTTTTCATGTGACCATCTGTCCATCACCATTTGTTTTTGTACCCTCCTCACTCTTCTTTCCCAACTTTGTGATGATGCTCAACCTTCTTCTCTAGAAGACTCCCACAACTAGTTTACTCCTTGCTTTAACTTTTCTTCACCACCTTTGTTCTTTATATATAATACATTGGTGTTAATATTTTGTGACTTTCTCTTAGGTGACTAATTCAACATTGTTTTCACTTGTTATTATTTGGTAGAATATCGACTTTCTCTTTTAACATTTTTTTTATTAGTTAAAATTTATTGAGAATCATAAATTTTGAGTGAATTTTTTTTATTTCTTTTAATGAATGAATCTCTCCATTGATTTAGTACAACATACTAAAATTATAATTTTCAAAATAGTAGAGAAAATATTAAAAAATTATTGTAAACATTTATAATTTGATTGAATATATATAGTCCACACAAAGTGCAATGCTACATAGACTCCAACTAGAAAAAAAATATATGATGATTTTGTACTTTAGAGAAAATTCATATTGCTTATTGAGGTTGAAATATTAAATGTTAGGATTTGACTTTTAAAGTAAGAATAAATTATTTACAAGAAAATTAATATTAATAGTTTAATATATTTATGTTATGTTTTGCATGTGCATGTATATTGATGATTGATTTTTTTCACTAACTATTAAATTACATTATTGTCTATAATGAATAATTTACTCTAAAAAGTCAAGACTCTAAATATCAATACTAACTTTTGATAAAGTGAAATTTTATATCAAAGATTAAATTTGACTACACTGTAGTGATAACCATTAATCAATAATTTAATAATTAAGATTAATTAATAAAACATACATGTATAAAATTTGTTATGAAAATATTAAAACTCTACATTTTATCTTCTAAAACAACCGTTAGAACTCTACATTTTGTTCACTAAAGTGTATTCTACAATTCATCCATATTAAGAGATGAATCATGATTCAACTATTCAAGACATTGGACATGTGTGTGAGAGTTACTTATTAGTTGCCTCTACGATTTCAACCTTATGTAAGATGCTCCATTTTCATGTACTTTAACCACACTAGATAAGATGATACAGCTAAATTGTTCTTTTGAAATTGAATGAGCACTTTATAACTCATCAAATTAAATGGAGCATGGACATGAATAACTTTAGAATCACCTAATCATTGTTTGGAATAATTAAGGATCATATAATAGATCGCTTGGCGAACATGGCTGTGTGGGGAACCACAAGCAGAAAGCAAGTTGTGCTAATCTTCGTTTTCAATGGCACTTATGATTTGGGAGGTTGTACTTTTTATTCTTTAGGAGGAGAAAGTTAATATATGTTCAGTAAGAGAAATCAATCAATAATAAATAAATTATCATATGCTAAAAAAGCTTTTGTATGATAATTTGATATAAAGGGATATATATATTTTTCATTGGTTAATTTTCAATTTACGTAAGACGGAACAGCACTTATCTATGTATGGAAAAAAATCTACACAAGTTGGATAGATTAAATTAATTATTAATAAATAAGTTATAATTTCACTCACATATTCACAAGATGATTTAATATAAGGTAATGATATATTTGTTTTTAGTTATGTATGTATTTTCAATAAAAAAAGAGAGTTATGTATATATATACTATAAAATAAAATTGGACTTAATTATGTTTTTAGTTCTTTATATACCTTTTTGTCACTAAAATTTAAAATTTGTATTTTTAGTCCTAAAATATATATATATATATAAAATTATATATACGCTTTTAATCTTTAAATTTTTGTCTATTTTTTTAGTCTCTAAACAATTTTTTTTGTTAATTTTAATTCTTCAACTTTTGCCAATTTTTAATTTTAGTTTTTAAATTTTTTCTCCTATTAACATTTAAGTTATTAATATAAAAAAAAATTTGCTCATAAATTTTTTTTTTGAAAAACTAAAATTAAAAAAAATTGACAAAAATTCATGACTAAAGATATATTTAATAAAAGAATCTAACACATTTCAATAAATAAAAGACAATTTTTAATTAAGTAAAACAAACATTTTCCTATTTAATGTGATAAAGTAATACTTAAAATAAAATAAAAGTAATACTTCACTTTATATCTTAATTTGAGTGAGATTGTGTCTTCAATATCCTAATTGTCGTGTATAAAAGAGGAAGGTAGAACATGAACACAACCATATAAGTGCAGGATCAAATCAATTTGATTGAAAGGGCAAGACACAGTTACAACATGGCCAACGGTCGCAATTTGAAGAACGCTGTGATAGCATTCTTGGTTCCTCTTCCCTCCATCTTCTTCTACCTCTCATTCCTCAACAACTACGACTCATCAAATTCCCCATCATCGTTTTGGTCAACCTTATGGTCATGGTGCTATCACCACCCTCTTCTTTTAGCCAACGCTCTCTTCTTCCTCAACGTCAATGTCCTCTTCTGGCTCATAGGCCTAATCCAATCCAGCCACTGGGTACGCACAAAGCCCCCGTTTTCCTTCTTCCTTCACTGCACCCACTTTCCCATTTCCTCTAAAGTTGACACCTTTTGCTGTTGGTGATGGTGCAGATGATCGACCCCTATTGGACTGTGATACCTGTGATGCTTGTTCACTACTATGCGACTCACCCTTTGGCTCACTGTGATTGGTGGAGGTCCAGGATCGTGATTTTGTTGACTTGGGTTTGGAGTGTTAGGCTCACTCACAACTACTTCAGGAGAGAGAGGTGGCAATGGGGTGCCAGGGAGGATTGGCGCTTCTCTGAGATGAGTCAGCAGTATGGAAGGCAATGGTGGTGGATTTCATTCTTTGCTGTCTATGTCTCCCAACAGGTAGCTTTTCCCATTGCACTCTTTTCATTCATTGGTTTTGAGATGATTGAAAAAGATTCAAGGACACTCACATAATAGTATACACATAAATAAATAAAAGAAAGGAAGAGAAGTGTAGATTCTTAGATTTCATCTTAAAACCAATGGGCATTGAATTTCAACATATATATAAGTTGCACCCCAATTATTGAAGCAGACAATGTAAACCTTCTACCGGACCTGTTTCATCGGCTAAACTTCAATAAATAGAAAGGAATATTGAAATAAGCTTTTTCATCGACTAAAACTAATTTATGTATAAGTTAAAAATGAGATTTTTTGGAAAAGATAATGAGAGAGAAGTTTTACAAATTAGTTTATACATAAGCTAATTTTAGTTTATGGAGAAACTTATTTTACTTTTCTTTTCTATTTTTCTCTCTTTAGTAGTGTTTCTGGAGGAGTTTATCTGTACAGGCCCAATATGTTGCAGCAAATAGAGAGATAGAGAAGAATAATGAGTGTCAATGAGGTGTCTGTACTATTGAGGTGTTCATATATAACTACTCTTAAATGAACCTATTGAGTTGCCTTGGATTTTATATTAATAAGTTGATCAGAATAGACTTGATATTTTGGTGCATGCTGTACGGACCTGATTCGGTTTTGATGTTGCCTTGTTATTTGGGTGGTTTGTTAGGTTGCATATTAGGGGAAGATGGAACAGTTTGTTCAAAGAGTAATCATTGTTCTCTTAAAAAATAATAGAAATCTTGAGTCTTGCTACCTGTGGTTGCAGGTTGCATTTACATCAGCCAAACCACAATATTTCCGTGTCTTTCCTAGTATTGTTTCATTGTTTTAGTGATGTATATGCTATAACAGAACACCCTGAACCTGCTTGTTGAATTACCTGTTTGGTTTGATCGTTGCTGTTACCCTTAATTTAGTGCTTTTCTTCTGGTCTTTGTTTCTTGTCTTTACAGATGTTTTTGATTGCATTGTCTCTTCCCTTGTATGCTGTCCATACTGTCAATCAGCCTTGGAACATATGGGACTTAGTGGCTACTGTTGTCTGTTTGTGTGGCATTGTGATAGCATACTTTGCTGATACACAGCTGTATGAGTTTGTGAGTAGAAACAACAAGCTGAAGGAACTTGGTAAACCTGTGATTCCTGTCCTTGACAGTGGCCTGTGGCATTACTGCCGGCATCCGAATTACTTTGGTGAGCAGCTGTGGTGGTGGGGGCTAGTTGTGTTTGCATGGAGCCTGGGACTTGGGTGGACCTTTATTGGAGCTTTGGTTAATACTATGTGTTTGGCCTATGTGACTAGGCTTGTGGAGGACCGAATGTTGAAACAAAAAAGTAGAGAAGAAGCATTTAGGGTTTATCAGAGGACAACTTCTGTGTGGGTACCTTGGTTCAAATCCTCTGCTTCAGGAGTTAAAAATAAGAATGCTTGATGCTATTCTTGGTTGATTTTGTAAAATTGTCATCTTGGTATCTTATCAAGTTTGCACTGTTCTTATTATTAAATGAAATCATGAATTGTATGTGTTCTATATATGTAGTTTGCTGTAATGTTGTATAAAATCTTAATGCATCTTCTACATTTCGAGTTATACTTCTTGAATCTGGCTTTTCAACTTCAAAATGATACCTGATAACTAGTGTATTAAAAAGTGGATATGCATGATGCATCCGCTGCTTCTTTTATCTAGGATTCTTTCTGTTCATGCAAAAGCCTGGAGCCATTTTACAATTATGGTTAAACCAATGAACCGTGAAATAGTGCCTTCACCGCTATAATGATGAGTCCATTTTTAAAAATATTGCTATTTGCATATGAAGATCTCATATTGTAAAATGGGCCATCAATTTGGATCTTCTCTCAAGGTTGCATATTGATATCCAGTCAAAAAGCTTTAGTTTTGGATTCTGAAACACGTATAGCAAAACTGTTTGCACAAGTCTGTTCATGACTAAAGTCCTCTCATGTTTGTGCTGACACAAGAATTGCATATTTCATGGTGGTAAAGGACACTAAAATATTTTCAATCAGACAAGGGTGACAAAAATTACATTTTTACTCATGAATATAGTGAATTTGGGGATGTTGTTGTGAGGGTAGTAAAGAGATGAAACTAGAATTTTGTTTTGATAGTCAGGTGATTCAATGAAGGCCTAGCTTGGGAATTGAGTTGAATATTCAACCTCTTTTCAATGTTCAGTTCTGATTGAACTTTTTTTTTTTTTTTTTTTTTTTTTTTTTTTTTTTTACGTTTCTTTGTAGCCTTATTAGTTGTATTGAATTTCTTGGAGAATTGTACCTGGGGTGTCTCCGGCCACTAACTTCTAGGAAACAAGTTTGAGATAGATTTAGTGGATCCTTGTTGAGGAATGTTCTGGTTTGGATCTACACCCAGAGTGGTTCATAACCATCAACTACACTTGGCCCAGTAGTGACCAACAATTTTCTGGTTAACCAACCCCCTACCAGTCCAAAAATCAAAGCATAAACCATCAATTTGGTCTCTCAACAATTACTCTCTTTCTTAAGTACTCCATGAAATAATAAAATTATATAATTAGTTCCTAAAGTATTGAATATACATCATTTTAGTCCCTAAGTTGATATTTTTACTAATATTTAAGGACTAACTTGAAATATTCTTTTTATACTTGAATATCCATCATTTTAGTCCCTAAACATTGTGGTATGTCCCAAAGTAAGTAGGAACGGGAAATCCCCTATTTCATTAGAGCCCTATCGGAAATGTAAGATGAGATATCCCGTGGCAGAAAATTAAATCTTGAAATTACAAATAGTAATGAAAGATAGGTTGTTAATGAGTGTTGTGTTAACCAATGTGACTTATAACCGCTAGTTATATATATATATATAAATTAGAGCCGTCAAAGTAGGCTGGGCCCGTGGACCAACCCGGCCCACCTTGAAAATGGCCGGGCCGGGCAAAAAAAATTGAAGTTTTATAGTAGGTGGGTATATCTCAACCTGGTCCACTTTGACCCGACCCACCCGGGCTGAACCAATGGTGGGCCGAGTAACCCACCAACCCACCAATTTTTTGTTGCAATAAAAATTTAAGTATGATTTGTAGTTAATTTTGTATGATGGGATATTGAAAATTTTTATTTTGGACTTTTATCATAATTTGTATTTAATTTTGTATGATGAGTTATGACTTATGACTATTAATAATGCTAATTTTATGACTATTATGTTAATTTATAATTAATTTAAAATTTTGAATTTTGATAAATTTTTTTTAATTTTTGGTGGGCTGGTGGGCTGGCCCGTATAACCCACCAACCCGTGGTGAGCCGGGCCGGACCATTTTTTTTTTTAGAAAATCAAAAGTGGACCGGGTTAGGTTGGCTCGTTTTTAAAGTGGGTCAAGGTGGGTTAGCCCACATGGGCCGGGCTGGCTCGTTTTGACAGCTCTATAAATAGAGAGAGAGAGAGGAGAGACATGTTTATCTACTAGTTTTATATATAGAGAGAAGAGATATTTGTTTATTCCAAGAGAAAGTTTATCTAGACTTATTCTGTTTAGTAACTCATATTATACATCAAATTTCAACAATTCAATTGTTGAATTTAAAATTCTTAACACATAGATTAAGTTTACAAATTCTTAAAATATTTAAATGTTACTTGATATTTTGTTTAATTAATTTAAATCAACACATAAAATATTTTTATGATTATCTATCAATTTGAATTAATAAAACGAAGTATCAAATGGTTTTCAAAATTTGATCCATGCATTAAGAATTTTAAATTTAACTGTTAAATCATTAAAATTTGATGTAAAAGATAAGTTCCCTTCTTATATATATATATATATATAATATTTATGATTACATGTACTATTCTAATTCTTACCTCTAAGTCAACCTTGTGATTGTAGATTAGATGCCTTCAATTATGGTATTTTGCTTAACAGTATCATTAGACGGTGATGCATATAGACAAAACAGTCATGAAACTGGTAAGTGGAAAAACAAACAAATTGAGATAACCCAAATTTCATCCGAAGACAAATTAGCATTTTCAATTTTTAAAAGTAACATTATGCTAAATTAAATATGAATTTCTATGAATTAAACACAAATTATTATTTAACTCGGAATTATTTTTAGGAGCTTTTTGAGAAAAAATTTAAAAACTCTTTTAATTTCTTATCTAATATAATTTTATGTTGTATTATAATTTATTTACATAAATTTAAAATTAAATATATATTTAAAAATATATATTTATATAAATTTTAAGTATAATTTATATACTAAGTATAATATTTATTTTTATATATAATTTATTATAAATTTTAGTTATATATAATAAATAGTTAACCTATATATTACACATGCTAAAATATTAATTATATAAAAGGTAAAGGTTCTTCTATGAGATTATCTTTAATAACATTTCTTATTAATCTCTATATAATAAATACAAGTATTTTTAGGATTTTTTTTTTAACATAAGGATTTATAGAAATTTTTTAACTTCTTATGTAATTCAATTTTATTTATCATAATTATTTATAAATTAAATGTTAATATTTTAAAATAAATAATCAATACATAAAAAATATTTTTTTAATATTTTTTTATAATATAAATTATTTATCATAAATCTAAAATATAATTTATATGTTTAAAAATATTTATGTTTACTAATTTTAAATATTTTATACATTCAACTTTTATATGCAATTTTTTTTATAAATTTTAATTTTTTATTCTAAAATTTTTAATTATATTATATATAATAAATATAGATATGTATTGCAAATACTAACTTACTAGTTTTAATTCAAACCGTATCATAATCATGATTCACTAACATTTAATGTTAAATACACTTGCTCCTTTTAAAAATAAGATTACTTCAAAAGAGAAGAAAAACAAAACAGGATTTTCTACCAACAAAAAAAACAAAACAGGATTCCGCATGGCTTGGTCACCGTACTATGTACGGCTTAATGTTAAATATTTGGTTAAATTGGCGTCTTATCCTTTACAATTTCGAATCCATAAGTTTAGTTTTATTATTTTTAATTCTATAACTTTAATTTTTTAATTTTATAAAATCTTTTAATTTTATCTCTTTATTAATGTAACAATTCACTATAATATTTATATTTAACGGCTCAACAACTAGTAAAAAAATAAAATTAATGACTACTTAAGGATAATATCAAATAGTTAATAAATACTCAACACTTAATATATATACATACATATTTACAACTAAACATTCATATACATGTGTATATAACTATACAATCATTCATATAATTGAAAGTGCAATCCTAGGTGTTGATCAAACAAAACTACTAATAACTAACTACTCTATGATAGCACAAAATATCAGCATGGCCAATATCATGTGGCCTCCAAATAGCTCTAACAATAATTTATACATATTTTATTTTCATATCAAGTATGATTATCACAGTCCAACCACATAAAAACACGCAAGGATAAACTAGAGTTTAAAGAATTAACATAATTAGCCTAGTAGTAAAGCAACTATACAATCAACATGAACAACTCAATTTATTATAAAATAATGCCAACTTACAACTTTCAACACAATACCACATATTTCAACTTATGCACCACATCATCAACTCCACAATTACAACACAACAACACATTTCACCACAATTTCACATTTCATATGAACAACACAACATCAAGAACTCATATTTTAACTCAACAACACAACATATACAACACAGTAATTACATGTGTTATCACGTATTACAAGTAGGAGATCTCCTACAATACAGGTGAGCAGCTTAAGTGGCCTGATCCTACTAAACTAACAATCCAACCTTTTCAATCCAATTAGGTCAACAACCAAATGGGATATCAATCTCTAACAACATGGTCTTTTGGATGTCGTCACTTAAACTAGGAAGTCTAATATTCCTATCAGTTGAGTGTGAGTTTACTACGATATTAGTTAGTATCACTAAGCCACATGTGAGAGTAATTTGTCAACTACCCTCCAAATACTACACTTTTTCGATACTCAGTTAGGGACTCTAATCCCCGACCTTGTACTTTTTTCAAAATTTGATCGTTTTAATCGTGTATGTCTCAACTTTGTCCACATATGGATCAACATTAGTTGCTTATAGTCAATATGTCTTGACTTAACCCATATATCGCATCAATTAAGGTCCTAAAGGAGATACAAGTTTCCACTTCAAGGGTCAACTTTCCAAGAAGGGTTTTTCAACAAATTGCGCTCTTAGAGTAACACAACACAATATCCTCATAATGAGATATGCAACTTTAAAATAACTTCTCCTTTAATCCTAGATTGATCAACACAATACAACTTTCAACACCATGCCAAAATCTGTTAATCATTCTCAACATTCATCATCTCAACAACACAACAACATCATGCATAAACCATATTTTAAAACAACTACACAACCACACAACATACAACTCAACTCATCTCAACTTTTAACCATTCAACTAAGAAACATGCAACTTAGCTCAACTCAACATAGTCAACTATACTTAATCCTAGATCAAGGTATAAAGATTCAACATTATGCATCAAGATAGAACATAATATACAACTTAAACATCACAGAACATTTTCACAACTTTCATTATAAACAAGTTTAATTCAGGCATATTGTGCTTGACACTACACACCTAACGCTTGGCGCCAACGAGACAAGGGATCCTATACCTTGCTCACGCTTGGTGTGGTGAAGTTCCACACTTAGCCTCAAACCAACTTGAGATGATTCTCTAACCTCATGCTCGACACCATTTCAACCTGAGAATTTTCTCTCTTCACGCTCAACACCACCAATCTTGTGTCTAATGTAAGTGAGACAAAAGCTCTCAAATTGAAGTCACGCCTGACGTGATGAGTGTTCTACACTTGTGTAGAATAGGAATTCGTCTTCGAGCCCCTAAAAATCAGCAAATCCACAACATGCAACATAATATTTCGCATAAAACAACTTAGGCAACTACAATCTAACTCAAGAATCAACATGCAACCACAAATTCATCACAAATCATCAAATTCTCCTTCATGAACCCAAAACCCCAAGTTCAAATACAACCATTAAGAATCATGCAATTTCACCATATTATTGCAATGATTTATCATCACAATCATAGAATAAATCCACCAACAACTCAGCAATTCAACAAAATAAAAAATCTAGCTTCCCTTATCTCTAGAACCTTTAAATCGAGAAGAAGGAGAGAAATAAGGAAGAAGAACGCCTAGACACTTTGCAGGAATCAGAAAATCTTATTCAAGTCCTTGCTGACTTGAATCAACAACCATACAACACAAATGAGGCTCGAGGGAAGGATTACCCTCCTAAGAGAAGAGTTGGAGATGGAGAGAACTTACGATTTTAGAGTTTATCTCTCTAGTTCATCTCTCTAGGTTTCTGAAGACTTGAATTTATGAAGCTCAATTCTAAATAGAAACCTTATATACTACCTCTCCTCAAGGTCAAACTAGACTCTTGCCAAAGAAACCCCCAAAACTATCTAAATTCATAAGAAATCCTCAGATTTTAGAGTTTCTTAACATGAGCTACAACAATTTAAAACATCAATGCATAATTAATAAAATCAATAACACTTAAGAAAAATTACAGTGTTACAATTAAACTTCATCTGTCGATCCTTAAAATTGTATTGTTAGTCGTAACTCAACATCAAATAAATGACACAATAATTAATATTTAATACTCTTTGATCTTTATTATAAGACACAATTTAGAAACAATTCATGATTCTTTTTATAAGACATTTTACAATTTCTGTAAAGTATTAATTTTAGTTTTCATTTTATGCCCCTATTAAAGATTGCATGAATATGTGTTTTTCTCTCTCACCTCTTAAACTCTTCAATTTTCATTTATTATTTTTATTGGTATTGGTAATTTCTTCACCTCATGATAATTTAATGACAAATGTAAAATTGGTAAATCATGATTTTGTTGTAAACTAGTAAAATTAAATAATATAACTACTTATATTGATTTATATTTGATTAAAAGTGTCTTATAATGAAAATTGGATGGACAAATATTTAGACAAAATTACACTTTTGATTTTCTTTTTCGCCCTATTTTCATCTTATTTTATTATTTTATGAGATAAAAATGATAAATACAAATGAAATTTAGTTAGAATTTTATTAAATATTAATTATTATTTTATTTATTAAATATTAAACTATGATTAATATTATAATTTTAACGATTAATAGGTAAATATTTAATAAAAGGATTAAACTTTGTTCAATTAATAATAGAAAAAATAAAATTGTGAATTTCATATGGTAAAAGAAGGAATGAATAATTTGTGATGAGGATAATATAACTCGAGTGATTTATAATTATAAACGTCAATCTTGAAATAGTTTGATTCCGAATGAGGGTTAAATAGTGAATGAATCCTGACCGTAACCAGGAGCATTGGTTGTCGTTTGTGTAGTTACGTCCGCATAGAGATGCATACTTGTGAAGCTAAGTGAATACTATTTACGAATTAAATAAGATTAAACTAACTAGTTCAAGACACAAAAACATATAAACTAATTGTTGGCTTTATTTTTAAACATATAAATTACAAAAATTACAAAAAAGATTCAAATTTAGGCTTCGAATATTATTTTAATTTTCTACCATTAAACATGATAAGATTTTTTTAATTAAATTACACTCTTATAAAAATAGTTAATTTAATTAAGAAAATTGAATTGGTAAATAATTTAAACTTTCAAAATTATTCTTAATTTCTCTAATTTTTCTTAAATCAATCTTTTCCCTACTTAATCAATTTTTTGCCTAATTAATTAATGTTTGAAAGAGAGATATATTTATATTATGTGTTTGTTTATCTTCTTCAATTCAAATAAAAAAATAATTTTTTATCTAATTAATTTCAAATATTTATTATTTTAATCTAAAAAATTGTTAACTAAATACAAGTATTTTTAAAAAATATAATTAATACAACTAACAATTAGAAGATAATCTTATAAAAAAGACAAACAAAAAAGTGAAAAGATTTTATTAAAAAAATATAAAATAAAAATAAGGACACCACAATAAAAGTATTATATTTAAACTTAAAATTTCGTGCATATACTATTAACTAAATATTATTAGTGCTATATTTTATTTAAAATTGAAATTTTATTTTTATCATTGTAACTTACTATTTAAGTAATTGAAATCAATAACAATTAGTATTAAATAAAATATAGTAAGTTTTAATTGAAAAATAATATCAATAGGAAGTATAACTTATTTGGCTTTTTCTAAGTTTATGCCTTTTGTTACCACTTGCACCTTTCTTGCATATTCAGACAAAACAAAACACGAGGGGGAAATTTTTAAAATAAAAAAAAAAATGCACATCATTTGTTCTGTCATATGGCATTTGTTTTCATGTGAATTGAGATATTTTTTTGCACAGGTTTCACAGATAATAATTGCTTGATAATCAACTAGAGGGTGACATATTCAATGCCCTGTTAAAAGTTAAAAGATATAAATGCAATACCCTCTAGCTTTCCAACTTCCAACAATATTAAATTTATTTTATGGGGCTGTCTGTGATTGGTTAGCTATAATTAGGTGCGTCATAAAAGTTACATGTTTTTCAGTACTATTGTACACTTATCATTCCGCTGCCCCATATGTAACAGCCCAAGCAACCCGTATGAGGATATTGTCCGCTTTGGCCCACGGCCGCACGGTTTTGCTCTTGGCGATGACACGCATGCCACCCCAAAAGGCCTCCTCACAAGGAAGGTATCCACACCCATATATATGGCATGCTTCGTTCGCCTTCCTAACCGATGTGGGACTATATCCACCCCCCCTCAAGGGAGTCCAGCGCCCTCGCTGGCACACCGATCCGGGCCCCGGCTCTGATACCAATGTAACAGCCCAAGCAACCCGCATGAGGATATTGTCCGCTTTGGCCCACGGCCGCACGGTTTTGCTCTTGGCGATGACACGCATGCCACCCCAAAAGGCCTCCTCACAAGGAAGGTATCCACACCCATATATATGGCATGCTTCGTTCGCCTTCCTAACCGATGTGGGACTATATCCCGGTGTGCCAGCGAGGGCGCTGGACTCCCTTGAGGGGGGGTGGATATAGTCCCACATCGGTTAGGAAGGCGAACGAAGCATGCCATATATATGGGTGTGGATACCTTCCTTGTGAGGAGGCCTTTTGGGGTGGCATGCGTGTCATCGCCAAGAGCAAAACCGTGCGGCCGTGGGCCAAAGCGGACAATATCTACATGCGGGTTGCTTGGGCTGTTACACCATACACGTTTTTCTTTTCCATGAACATAATGCACCTGCCAACTTCTCATGAATTTAATTCATAGCAAAAATCTTACCATTACATCAAAATATTAACTGTAGCTTCTACGATATGTACTGTAATGTTTTTTATTTGGTTATTTATTTTCAAAAAGCAACTCACAATTGATCAGTCGCCTAAAATGAATTTCATTGTTTTGAAAGTATTTTTCTAGTTTTTTTTTTTTCCAAGTAAATTTCCCATGGCAAGAAAATCCCTTTGAGAAATACAAAATGGATGCAGTACACATTTACCTAATGGAGGAAACAGTATCATGTTATGACTATTGCATTTGTCATCACTCAAGGAATCCTTTAGCAGTTGCCAGTTGGCATACTTATTACATTATCAACTAGCATTTAGACAAAGACATCCCCTAAGATTTGTTTCTTGTTCCTTGTTCATGTACTAATAATACTATGCATCCTTCCAATCTCCATGACCAAAGCAATGAAACTGATTTATTATCATTATTCATTACCAAAAAGATAAAAAGAAAAAGGACCTTACGTTACTTTCCGAAGTTGCTCTTTCTAAGCTCAAATTTAAATATCTTCTACTCTAACCCCCCCACCAGAGCACAGGTACAAAGTTGAGATTTTGATTAGTGATGGGCTCCCAAATTCCCAAAACAGTGATGATCTCAAGTAAAAGAAATGTTTTTGGCACCAAGGGGAAAAAGGGTCTAGATTTCCTCATGGTTTTGGTCTTAACAGTCTCATGGTTTTGTTTGATTACTACATGTGTTTCTGCTACAGAACCAGCGAGCCCACCAGCACAACTACAGAACCAAAAGCTAAGGTTTGACCAAAACGGAAAATTCAAGATATTGCAGGTGGCAGATATGCACTATGCCAATGGCAAGACCACACTTTGTTTGGATGTGCTCCCTTCCCAGAATATTTCTTGCTCTGACCTCAACACCACTGTCTTTCTTAACAGAATGATCAAAGCTGAGAAGCCTGATCTTATTGTCTTCACTGGTATTCCATACTTGTCATGTTTTTAGTTTTTAGTCATCATTTCATTTGATTTCTAGTTGTAGTATTTTTTGCTTTTTAGATTTCCTTTCGTTTGTTCTAGGAAAAGAGACCCTTTCCCTTCATTCCTTCAAGTGGAATTTTTGTAGTTTTTGCCAATAATGTTTTATACCCTAGTGATTTGATGACATATCAAAGGCAAAGAGCATATTGTTCCATTTACTTGTAAACCGGATAGAAATGAATTGAATTTGAGTTAGTATTTTGTTTCACATCTAAGTTACAGTTTCAAGTTTCTATGACTGTTGATACATGACATAATTATAACTATGGTGCATGTTTATTGTGGTGTGGCAGGAGATAATATCTTTGGGTTTGATTCCTCGGACTCAGCTAAATCAATGGATGCTGCATTTGCTCCTGCAATTGCATCAAATATTCCTTGGGTAGCTATTTTGGGCAACCATGACCAGGAAGGAACCCTCTCTAGGGAAGGAGTGATGAAATATATTGTTGGGATGAAAAACACCTTATCTAAATTCAACCCTCATGAAGTACATACGATTGATGGTTTTGGGAACTATAACTTGGAGGTTGGAGGAGTTAAAGGCACTCATTTCGAAAACAAATCAGTGCTCAACCTGTACTTTCTTGATAGTGGAGATTATTCCAAAGTTCCTACAATTTTTGGTTATGATTGGATCAAGCCCTCCCAGCAACTTTGGTTCCAAAGAACGTCTGCAAAACTTAGGGTGCTGACTTATCCGTTCCATTTTCTTACCTAGCTGTATTATTCTCACTATATGGCTTTTTTTCCTGTTTGGTTTAAAAACATGTTTTCTATTTTCATAAATAATTACAAATGTGTCACTTTGTTTCAACATTTGCAAACCTTTGAGAATAGAAAACAAAATGAAAACTATGTGCCAATTTTGTAATTATTTATAATTCTGTGGATCTTCATTAAACATGTGCTTATTTTTCAGTTCCTTTTATTGTTAACATTTGGATTGACTACTTATAATCTTTCTTTATTCCACAGAAAGCATACATTAGTGGACCAAAGCCTCAAAAAGAAGCTGCTCCTGGTCTTGCATATTTCCACATCCCTCTACCAGAATATGCTAGTTTTGACTCATCAAACTTCACAGGCGTGAAACTGGAACCAGATGGCAATGGCATTAGCTCTCCTTCTGTGAACTCTGGCTTCTTCACAACCTTGGTTGCAGCAGGAGATGTGAAGGCAGTTTTCACTGGCCATGACCACCTCAATGACTTCTGCGGAAATCTAATGAACATACAACTTTGTTATGCTGGGGGGTTCGGATACCATGCTTATGGAAAGGCAGGGTGGCCTAGGAGAGCAAGAGTGGTGGTAGCTAGCTTGAATAAAACGAGGGAAGGCAGTTGGGGAGATGTCAAGTCAATTAAAACATGGAAACGCCTTGATGATCAACATCTTTCCAGAATCGATGGCGAGGTCCTATGGAGCAAAAGCTCTGGTGGTAAGACATCCTGTGATCGTTGTAGTACTATTCTTCTTGTTCTTAAATCATGTCACAGACGAAAAGGATGAAATTTATCTTTACTTCTTTAGAATTGTCTATAAGGTATGTCGGTTGGACATAAAGAGAATGTGACAAGAAAATGAAAATATAGGAATTTTTTTTTACAGAAAGAACCATTAAAAAATTAGTATCTTGATGTAAAAATTTTAGCTCAAGACAAGGGGATAAGAAGATAAGGAAGACCATTGTTCTGTCAACTGAAAGCTTTTCAAGGAGCTTAGGAAAATAGTATTAGGAGTACAATGTAAACTATTACCATGGTAAACTAAACTTGGAAGAAAATGGATGTAAAGAAAAGATGTTGAAGTTGTTTCTCTTGCTTTTTACATTCTGAGATGCTTAAATTTTCAGGTCTGGATAGTGATGAGTGGGAGGAGAAGAACCATATTACCAATTTTTATGTAAGAGCAAAATCACAAGTGTGATTTGAAGAGTGAACCTTATGAATTGCAAGGACATGTAGGAATAGTTCTGCCGATGTAGGATAAGAATTGTTGTAGGATTGTAATTTATTTTGAAGATATCTTCCGTGGGAGCTTTATATTGATAGGGATTAATTGGGTATTATGCAGTGCCTAAGTCCCGCATGAGTAGTGTGTGATGCTCACTGAAGTACTTAACTGACTTTGTTCTCATATAAAACTTAGATGTAATACTATAGGTGTTGATCTCTGATAAAAATTGGAGTGATAATTTCCATAATAAAGAATTTCATGAAATAAACGCGTATTATGTACTAAGGTGAATTTCATTTCTAATCGGACAACAGTAATTATAGTATTGTATCTATGTTTTATCCTTTGTTCTCTCCCATAAGGTAGGGTTCCCCAAAATCTTGGGTGCTTATTGTATATTCTACGGAAACTTACAGATAATACACAGAATGGAACTGGTCTCCATTTTTGGTTTGTAGTATTTATAAGAGAGGTATAAATGTATCAGACATATACTATAGTTGGACAGCACATGAGCACTGTGGATAAAAAGGTTCAATTATTTGTGGCTCATGTTAATCTATGCGTGAAAATATACCAAAATCCCCCTCGTCTTTCCTCATCCATGGCAATATATCCCTCAAAATTCATTGTCCTATGACTGCTCTGTGATGCTCTTCTTTATTTTTCGGACACTACTAGCTAGGGCATCTGTGTTACATAATTTCTTTGTTTTATTATTTTATTACACCAAGCTCTCTCCTTGAATTCATTGTCTATTTTGATTTTCGTTGCAGGTAACCGTGGATAAAAACAAAATGGCAGTACTTGAGAATTTTAAAATGATGCAGACAAATAATGGAATCAACATGAAGGCTATATATTTTTAACTTATTCATGAGTTGCGATTCGACAAAGTTTATTAGTGAAAATTTGAAACTCTTTGATATACATATCCTATGATTCTATACTGCAATAGAAGTTAGTTTGTTAAAGAGTAAAAAAGGAGTGGAAGGTTGATAAACGAGGTAAAGTGATTGTATGTTATGTAATTGCAACTATCCATACAACATACACACTTGTAGGATAATATCATTGACTTAAAATTTTTTATATATGACCAAAAATGGTTTCTTTGAGAAAGCTTTTACTTTTTATATACCCATTTGTGGGATAATGCCATTACTTAACTGTATATTTCAACTTCCGTGGATATTTTGATAAGGTGCTACATGATACTTGATAGTGATGAACAGCATACTTGCCTTTGCAATTGTTGATGATCAGGAGAGAAAACAGAAACTAAGGCAGTCAAATTTTACTAAGGATATATGTTTGGGTTTGCTGTATGACATATATTTGGATGAGTTTTTTCAAAAACAAATTATAGGGGAGAAAAATAGAAAAGAGAATCGAAACAAATTTTTTCATAAGTTATTAACTTATAAATAAGTTTAAAATAAGATTTAGGAAAAATTAATAAGAATTGTTTTTTACAAATTAGTTTATATATAAGTTAATTTTAACTTATAGAGAAACTAATTTTTTTTTCTTTCTAAAAGTACTTTTTTGGGAAAATTAATCCAAACATATCCATAATAAAAAAAAAAATCACTCAAATTTTCATGTCGACAATAAACTACTTATCTATGTGGCCTTTGTATGCTTTTTAAAGATTTTAGTCTGCTGACCGTACAACCAAACATTCTCTAAATTAAGTTAAATTAACTTATTATAAGGATAAAGGAAACTCAAGACTAAAAAAGTATTATTCTTGTTGTTGTATTTATCCTTAAAAAGAAATCCTTTTAAATTCGTGTGACTAAAAATAGGAGGTAAGAGCAACTAATTATGCTACTACTAAAAACATTACCACAAGCTTTACCGCCATGCATCCAAAGCAACTGGCATGTCACCTATATTTGGAAATTAATGTGGGTAGCTTTGTTATTTTTCTGATATGATTTGTTTTCATCTTTTAAACATTCCACCTGATACATTGCACCTAGCATTGCATGATAATGATGATATTAGACGTGGTTCTCAATGAGAGAAAACCTTAATAGTTGTGCATTTGGTAAATTCATTGTGAAGGTTTCAGGGCTAAGTTCCAATTCCAATAAAAAAGGGGATAAAGATAATATCATATGCTTAATTTTCTCAGATTTTTCTGTGTATTTTCTCTGTTAAGTTATTATCGATTAAGAGCAGGTTAACAAGGACCATCTAGTATCCCCTGTGCTAGTTACCATCCGATATTATTGCAGTCCTATCATCCATGCAAAAAATGTGATTACTTCCTGAATTTACATTCAGTGCATCTAAACTTAAATAGGTATTTGTACATTGAATCATGAATCTGTGCATGACAATAGAAGTAGCCATTTTACAAGCTTTCACCAACATAAACACTCCCTTCTAAAGACATTTAAGCCTTACTACTTAGTCAAACAGTTTTTCCAGGGTTTCTCCAAGGCTTGCAATCTTAAAGTTGTTCCAACCCTTCTCACTTGGGAGTGAAAGCCTGTAGCAGTAACACATAAATTCAGCACAAATAAGATGAATATGTTTGGATAACCTTTTCTAAAAATACTTCTAGGAGAGAGCAAAATAAGAAGAAAAATTGAAATAATTATTTTCATAAGTTAATTTGTTGAAGTTTTCTTCTATTTCCTTCTCTAAAAATCTTATTTTTAATTCCACATAGACTAGTTTTAACTTATGAAAAATTATTTTGATTTTTCTTGGTATTTTTTTCCTCCTAAAAGTGCTACTAGAAAAGTATATATAAATGTGTCCTAATAAATTAAAATCAAATAAATTAAGCAAGCAAGATGTACTTACAGCAAAAATAGTAGCATGGCCAGGATCTGCAAGGTGAGCAAAGAGGTTGTCAATAGGACCAGTGCCAGTGTAAATGTGCTGGAACCATGCCCCCATGACAGCCAACATGGCCAACCTCCCATTCTTGATCTCCTTTGTTCTCAACTCCTTGATCTTCTCAGGAGAACCACTTCCCCAGCCAAGTGGGTCAAACCAAAGCCCACCTGGGTACCCAACATCAGTTCCTGTGAGCTTGTTGTTGGGAAAGATGGGGTCAGTGTTGACACAGCCTGGCTTGATGATGTCAGCCCATCTTCTACCCTCAGCCCACCCAATGAAAAAGAGCTCAACTACGAAGAGTGTGGTGGTGTCTGTGAAGTACTCCAACTCTCCAGCAGTGTACCATGAAGGGGTGTTCAGGATACCAATCTTTGTCAGGAATTCTGGGATGAATATGCCAGCAGCTCCCAACATGGCCCATCTGCAGTGCACAAGCTCTGCTTGAACGTTCCATCTCAGGCTCTCAGGGTCAGATCCTGTTGAATCACAACCCCCTTTTGTGGTTACTCACTAGTTATCATGCATAGATACCATAATATATATAGTGATACGATTATTCTAAAATATATAGGATATGAAATGTATTAGATACATACTACACATGTATAAAAATTTATAAAACATCTAGAGTTCTACAAATCCAAATTAAGAACATACTTCTTGGACATTGCATAAAAACAAAATCAAAATTAAATCATTGTCAACATAAATCATTTTCTATTGTCTACAATTATTGTCTATCTCATTCCTTTTTTGATATCCTCCATAAAGAGAAGTATATAACAATTTTCATTTTTTTGTTCATTAAGGGATAATTTTTTATGTTTCTGTATTGTTCAAGCTTCTATGTCTTACACGTAGCTATCAGTAAAATATCCCAGAGTATCTGTATTAGATATGTATTAGTAATACAGATATGTGAAGCAAATACAAGCTTCTATGTCGTACACGTTGTTATCAGTAAAGTATCAAAGAGTATCTGAATTGGATACGTATTAGATACAGAAATATGAAGCAAATAAAAGTATCAGTGTTTCGTAGGAATAATGAATACTGCTTGAGCTTATTCAGTAACAGGAAAATTTAGTGATGAGTGCTTACCAAGACCGAGAGGATCAAACCCAAAATCTCCTGGCAAACTGCCATCTAGCCATGGAGGAGGGGTGCTGCCTGGGAACCACAGAGGCCTATCAGGGTCAGCAACTGCACACACTGTAGTGCTGGATCGTGTTCCAACTGGTGCTGTAAAATTGCTCACCTTCAGTTTCCTCCCACTAAGAAAAGAAGCTTTTGTGGTTCCCAAGAGTGAACCATTCTTCTGGGAACTGCATGCAATTTCATTTTTTTTTTTCAATATATTTCACTAATTAGTACTAGGTTGAATTTGAATAAAAGATGAAGCCACCTCGAATAGCAACTCCTGTGCCACATCACTGCCACATCAGCTCTAACCCATTTTATGAGTTGCTTAAATTTTAACAAAGTTGCTTATAGAAATAACTCTACTAAAATTTAAAATACTCATAAAGTGGGTCAGAGCTGATGTGATAGTGACGTGGGAGGTTGCTTCATTGGAGATGTCGCATAAGTAGATTTCATAATCATAACTAGGACAGTGCATGAAACATATGAGTCAGGTAATGCATGTTTGCATTACAAGTAATGGGCATGCACGTGGGAGACTTGCCTTGGGGTGGAGATGGCAACAGCTGCAATGGCAGAGGAAGCACATGACGAAGCCATGACAGGCTTTCACCTGGAGAGATAGATGAAGTGATTTAGCTTAGTGAGTTGTTGTGCTGATGTATGTGGTTAAATGATGAGGGGGAAAAGAAAATAGAATTTTGTTAAATGTGTGTTCTTATCTTAAAGGATAGGAAGGTGAACGAGAAATTAGATGGTGGGGTGCCACGTGGCATGCAGAATCTCATAGGATAGGTTTACCTTGGAAAAATCAGAATTTGGTGGTTCACATTTGTCAGACCAAGAAACTTAGTCTCTGTGGCTTAAATGGTCACTGGCACCACAAGACAGATTCTTCCATGTTAACTGTGCTCAATACTCCCTCCGTTTTTTTTTTCATAGTCGTTTTGTTAGAATTAGTTATTTTTTTTTCATTGTCATATTACTAAAATCAATAAGTTATTAATTTTTTTCTTCTATTTTCACCCTTGATAATTAATACATGTTTCCTGAACCATGTGTGTATTTATTTTTAATGTCTACCTAATTTTTCTCCAACTACTCATATAAAGTTAATGTGCATTTATAAGAGCAATATGTTCCCAACAAAATACTATAAAAAAACAAAAAAAAAAAAGGGACAACTATTTAATGGAGTAGTTCAACAGTCTAAAAAATGCAAAAAAAAAAAAATAAGGGTAAAATTGAAAAGTAAGTAATAAACATTTTTGAAAACTAAAATATCAATGATTTCTTTAAATCCCGTGCAAAATCTTAAACGACTATGAAAAAAAAACGAAAGAAGTATTATATATTCTTAAATATAAACAAATTTTAACCATCTCTTAAATATAAACAAATTTTAATTATGTCAATCTTATTTAATATTTTTAATCTAAAATTAGTTATAAATATATAATAAATAAGAGTATTATATATTATGAATGTGTTTAAAAATATTTTAAGAAATATATTTAATTAATTTTCTTAAGAATGAAATTAATTATTTTTGTTTAATATATGTCCAAAAGAATTATTTTTTTCAAAATAAATAAAATAATAAAAAGAAATAATTACAAAGGTGATATTATATATACAAATTTTCTATAATTTTTTATTGTACAAATAACATTACTTTTATTTTAATTATGTTAGATAAAGCATTTAGGGTTATGATACATCAAACTCATTCTAGATCATTTTAATCATATATTACATTATTTGTTTGGATATTCATGTCAATGCTATATGAACAATTTTTTGATTATGTTTTAATTTTATATCTTAAAGTTCTCTAACATTAACACCAAATTGAATTTGAATTTGAAAGTGTAGAACAAAATGAGGAAATGAGAAAAAAAGGAGAAAAGAAATAGTATTAGTAGAGACTAGAATATAAAATAAAATTACTTATATAGCGATTAAAATGAGTAACTTCTAAATGTAAAAACTATTTAGTAAATATTGTACAAGTCTAAAAATCAAAATGTAAAAATAATACAAATATAAAAACTTATATATAAAGTATAATACATATCAAGTTCATATTTGTATCACGTGTGTGAGACCTGTGGCTGCCCCCTTCTTTCTCCTTCTCAACTCTCTATTTCCAACTCTCACTCTCTACTCACTCAAATCCTTTCTTCTCCTCACTAACCCTACTGATTTTAGGGATTCTTTTTCTCTTCTTCAAACTGAAGCTGTGGGTGATCAAGGAGTGCATTCTCTCCAACTTGAAGCCGTTCGGAGCAAGTCATGTGCGGATCCTCTTTTCTTCTCCTTCCTCTTCCCGGAGCTCGGATTTCTTCACCGAGCTAAGAGAAGTTAGTTTTCTTGTTGTGGTTTGGCTGAAATGAGTCTAAGAACTCGTGTGGTTGATTTTGATTTCGGATTCTTGGCTGTTTGGGTGACACATTGAGTTTTGGGGACTTTGGGGTTCATGAGAAATTTGGGTTTTTCTTGATTGTTACATGCATGGGTGAAAAGATAGTATTTTTGGACTCTAGGATGAGAATGTGGTATTTTGGATGGTTTGCATGTTGGATTGCTAGTTATTTTCGCAGGTTTTGATGAGATTTTCGAAGCAGGTAAGGGTTCCCGTTTGAATTCGCGCCGGGCTCAGTTCTTCGCGCTGGGCTCGACTTGAAATGGGTAATTCTGGGTGAATTGCGCCGAGCGCGCACTTAATGCGCCGGGCGCGCATTTTCTTTTCAGAATTTGACTTTATAGTCTTCATGAAAGTTGTAGGAATCTTCTGGAGGCTCGGAGTTTGCAAGCTTCTTCTTGAATCTGAGCCTCCTCTCTGAGTTCGTCTACATGTCAAGGTTGGTTTCTGTATCTTGAGTGTTTTGCTCACTGTCAAAGGTGTTACGCCGATGAGACGTCTCGCCGACCTCGATTAGGATCATGGCGTCGACTCCGTAGGTCAGCCTGTAAGGAGTTTCTTAAGTCGTGGATTGGGGGTGCAATGATATGCCTAGAGAATGCTGGGGAGCTCGTCAACCCATTGTCCCTTGGCGCTCCCTAGTCGCTTTTTGAGTTCTTAGAGTATGACCTTGTTCGTAGCTTCGGCTTGGCCGTTGGTTTGGGGATTCTCCATCGAGGTGGGCAGGTGCTTGATGCCGAGCTCTCAGAAGAAGCTCTCGAAGCTCTGTGCGATGAATTACCTACCATTATCGGTGATGAGGGAGTGCGGGATACTGAACCTGCAAATGATGTTCTTCCAGGTAAACTTTTGCACGTTCTCGACGATGATTTTGGCGAGTGGGCAGGCCTCGATCCACTTGGTAAAGTAGTCGACAGCGACAAAAAGGAATTTTAGTTGGCCTTTCGCAGGGGGGAATGGTCTGAGGATATCCATTCCCCACTGGGCAAAAGGCCATGGGGATGCCTATTTGTGGAGGACTTTGGGTGGCTACCGATGTACGTTGCCGAACTGCTGACATTCTTTACACCTTTGTACTAATATTTGCAGTCAAACTTCAGTGTGGGTCAGTAATATCCAGCTCGGATTACTCGGGCCGCCATAGAACGCGCCTCGGAATGCATATCACATATGCCGCGATGGATCTCCTCGATGACATAGGTGGCTTGGGACTTGGTTAGGCATTTTAGCAGGGAGCTGAGATGCCTTGTTTGAAGAGTTCACGTGCGATGATGACAAACTTGGATGATCTCACTCTCATCTTTCGAGCTTTGTCTTTGTCTCTAGGTAGTATCCCCTCCTTTAAGTAGTTCCAGATGTTGGTCATCCACTCCTTATCTTCAACATCGTTGACGATGACGACCTTGGCGTCCAAGTTGGGGGAGTTGATGGTCTCTTGAATGATGGTCTGATATTGTCCAGGGGGTTTCGTGCTGACGAGCTTGGACAGGAGATCGGCTCTAACATTTTATTCTCGGGGCACATCATGTATGGTGAAATCCTCTAAAGACGAGGTCCATTGGGACATTGTGTGATAGTACCTTTGCAATAGGGTGTCCTTGGTCTGGTAGGTCTCGCTGAGCTGTTCTACCATGAGCTTTGAGTCACTATTGCAACTTACCCTTTGTGCTCCGATGTCTCGTGCTAGCCTCAATCCTGCTAGTAATGCTTCGTATTCTGCTTGGTTGTTGGTGATTGAGAAACCAAACTTGAGGGATTGCTCAATGATGACCTGGTTGGGGCCTTCGAGTATGATTCTTGCGCCTCCTCCCTTAGCGTTGGAGGACCTGTCAACGTGGAGTTTCTTAAGTCGTGGATTGGGGGTGCAATGATATGCCTAGAGAATGCTGGGGAGCTCGTCAACCCATTGTCCCTTGGCGCTCCCTAGTCGCTTTTTGAGTTCTTAGAGATAGGTTGGTGGCTTGTGGCAGGTCTGTAGCTGACAGATAGAGCTTACTTCGTATGAATGTTTTGGTGTTTTTGCTACTTGGTGTAGTAGCTCTGGATGTATTTTTGTACATTTTGGATCTAGTCAGACTTGGACATGGATATATGTATATTCTAGACACTATATGTATACACTTGTTCTTTTCTGTCCGGTTTCAGGTGTACGGTGTGGTGTGTAGTGACCAGCCGGATCGTTACAACGTGATTTACTATTACTATCGATGACTTTTTTAAACAATAAAACCACAAGAAAACTAAAAGTACTTGTATTATAAGAACTCAAATGGATAATTTTAAATGTATAAACTAAAAGATAAAATGTGTATAACTAAGGATAAAAAAAATGTTTGTATACAACTATAACTATTAGAATATACAAGTTGGAGAGAAAATATCTCATTCTTTTTAAGATATTCTCAGTAGTTTTCCTCTCAATTAGCTAGAGATGCATTTAACACGCTACAATTAATCAAAAATTTATCTTTCAATCATTTTAAAATATCAATTCTTTTTATCAACCTCTCTAAATTAAATTTTAATATTTTTAAAATATTAATAATTATAAAAAAAAAGCTTATATCATAAAGAAAATTTTTATATTATAATATCTTATATCACAGTTTAAATTATATTTTCTTAAAATTAGAAATAAGCTTCAACCTATTTAAAACAACATTTGTTGGTTCAACTAGTGTTCTGATTGATCTTCAAGTCTCAAGATCTCAAAATTGAGATAAATAATCTTAATACAATCAAGATTCTGAAAGAGACTAGCTACTAGTGAAATCGATAAATATTCTTATCAATATTATGATAAAGAAAAAGAAAACCTATACAATTAAGAAGAAATTTTTATCACACTGACACATTAATTTTTTATGTATCAAATTGACACCCTTTACGAAAATTTATCCACATACCTCACTTATACATATCCATGAGAAGCCATGAGAAGTTGGGTACTTTTAATTTTATTTTTTTTAATTTTAAAAATATTTTTATATATCTTTAAATAATTAAAGCACAAACTAAATTAAAAACAATGAAAGCATGGAATTTTTTTTATATTTTAATTATTAAAGAATAAATTATATTAAGAAAAACGTAGTTTATTGTTCTTGAAGTTAGTGACATTTTTTTTTCTTCTTAAGTGTCCGACAATTCAATAATAACTTCTAGCATGTTTGTATTGTCGTTTTTCTCAATTGAATGAAGAAGTTTTGTGAGATAATTTCTCCGTTCAACTGAGCTTTGGAATTCAAAATTGTTCTTAAGCAAACATATTCT